GTCAAACAAAGATATTCAATGTGTAACTGAGGAGTATTTGTCTTCTGAATGTTCTTAACGTCATAGGGAACTTTTGTAATGTGCTTGTTCTCCACTCAGACTGTGGTCTGGGGACTTTTGGGATAATCTTGGACAATTTCCCTCTCTCGCGTCTTTCCGTTGACACCTGTGGTTGTATATTAACTAGTATATTCGATATTGAAAGAAATTTTGATCCAGTGGGAGACTTGCACTACTTTTTTTAAGTTATAAGATTCAAATATCTAGGTACATGTTTTCCAAAAGCATATTGGGACAACAATTTTTGAAATATGCAAAATATCCTTGATGGTTTGACTTGGGTGTGTTAGAAGTTGAGCTGAGACTACATTAGTCCTTCCTGAGCCTGGGTAAGAGTTGGAGTTGGGCCAATTTGGTGTGCGCTGTTATGATTTGCTGGCAAGGCCCAGTCTCACCCATCCATTAACTGAAATTACTTAACTGATTATCTTGCTTCTTGAGTTCTTGTCAAATACCAGAGCCTTTCTTGAACTTTAATCCACTTACTGAATGAGTCAAGTCTTAATAATTGAACTTTGTAGCTAGCTTTAAGTCTGTCCTTATATTTTTATATCCTTTCTTTCACAGTGAATTAACTTTTATCCAGGACTAACTCCTAACAATGGGCCTCGACTAATTTCTATAAACAGGTTTATGACTGAAGTGCGGAGGTTGTCTCTTCCTCAAAGTCAAACGGAGGTTGTTTATCGGGGTTTCCGGGAGCTTGAAGAGTCACTTTTGAGTTCTTTTCCTTTTGAAAGGTTCTAATTTGCTCCTGCAGGTTATGTACCAATTGCTTGCTTGTGCTATAAAACTATTTTTTTACTCCTAATTGGATCGGTCAAATATATTTGTTCCCTTTACCTTTCCACACAAGTTTGCAATGACTTAAATGAAGTATGTGATTATACAAATAGGTAGTTTTGTTTTTTACATCAGAGTATTTTTAAAATTAACCAAGCATGCTAAAGCGTTGATGGGATGAATTTTGAACTCCTGTTTTCAGAATGCATCGTAAAACCTGCAGAAAATGGTATAAATGATCTACTGCTGAACCTTATGATACTTTATTAGCCTCCATTTGGCTCCCATTTTTTGAAATGAAAATGGGTGGAATAGTGTTTTTTTGAAAAAAAAAAGTGGTTGAAAAAGAAAGAAAAGTTTTCGATTTATGTGTAATATTATTCTATGGAAGATTATGTGGTTGAAAATAGGAGAGAGAAATGAAATGTAATGTAATGGGGGCCAAACGGGGACTTAATAGCCTGAAAAGTTCCAATTGCTCATTATTTGTTCACTTTTGATGTATTTTGTTTGATGTATCTCTTTACATATTACTACTTGTGCACGTTTTTTGGATAGATGAAATACTTTACAGGCAGTGGACGTCTTGTTATAATTTATGGCTAACTTTCTGCTGTAACCACCAATTTTCATATAGCATAATGTAATTTCTTCTCGTTAGAGCTAGCTCTACCTGATTTTCACTGCTTATCTGATTGAGACAACTTCGTTCTGTCCAAACATGTCATTTATTTTTATTTTATTCGCAACATGTGTCAGATTTTGCTAAAATTCTGTTGACCTTCATTGATAACAAATTGTTCATGTGGCTGTCTATATGGACATTAGATGACTTTAATTGAAACCAAATTAAAATTTTGCTAATGTAGTTTGAGGTTTTCTTTTCTATTTTTTCATATGTTTCAGGGATAATTGTAATTACAGTCCCAAACCCTTTAAATCATTAGGTGAAAATTTAATTTGGTATTGCCATCACGGTTTCAAACCTTATCAAAATGAATCACCCTGCTTCCTTTACTGACTATTGCCATCAGCATGAAACACCTTCAACTCATTCCACCAATCACAACCCCTTTTGTCGCCGACAACTGTTACACCTGCAACCCCAACATCACCACCCAAATCATGCCATTGTCATTTCTTTATATATATTTGAGCGCTTCGGTAAACCGTACTCCATTTTGTATATTGTGCAACGTTTTTGTGCAGTACACGCATTTATGTAAAATTAGAATCATTTTTGCACATTTGCTCATTTTGGAGTATGTTGGTATATTTTAGGAATGAAGTTACACTTTGCCTTTTAGTACAATTTTTTGTGCATTTTGGTACATTCCATGTGATACACATTTCGGAGTATTTGGAAGATTTTGAGCATTTCACATTTTGTACATTTTTGCAGCTGTGTTAAATTTTATCGAGTTTTGATACATTTTCGAATATTTGGAGTGCATTTGACGTGTTTTGGTACAATTTAGAAAATTTGGTACATTTCACATACTTTGGTGCAAAAGTTTGCCATACATTTTGCGTGTTTTGGCACGTATTGTAGCATTTTTGTAGATTTCGTGCATGTTGATACATTTTGGAATGATCAATACGTTTTGCGAATTTTGGTACATTTTAGAACGTTTTGGTACATTTAGCTTAGTTTGATACATATTGGAGAGATTTTGCACATTTTGCCTAGGTTTTGTACATATTGCATTTTGATACAAATTATTGCATTTGGATATATTTCGTACTTTTTTGTGCATTTCGATGAGTTTTGATACATTTATCGCTCTTTTTCTTGGAGCATTATGCCATATCTTGCAAACTCCGTTAATTTTGAGATGTTTAGTTACATTTCATGTATCTAAAATTTGGGCTCCCTCTCGGTTCATTTTACGTAGTTTTTCTACATTTCCCATTTTTTGTTTAAATTTGCAACATTTTGCTCGTTTTTATACGTATTATACTTTTTTTACATTGAACGCATCATATATAGGTACATTTTTTGCTCTCATTTTGGCGCCATTTGATATATATATATATATATATATATATATAATGGAGTTTGTTGCATTTTATCTTGTTTGGGTACATTTTAAAGTGTTATGGTAAATTTTTCGTGTTTCACATGCACCATGAGTAAAGACTCGGTCCTTATGTCCAATTCGTTAGTTTACATATTGTTCGTTATGGGAGAACATGAATACGTCTTGTTCCTCACAAATTTTTATTGCGATCTAAGGATTCGAATTTAAGACTTCCACATTATGAGAGATTTAAATTGAATTTTAGTTCACTTAATCGAATAGTAATATAGAATTGTAGCAATTTGATGTCTAATTTATCAACTAACTTGAAAGTAAGTAAAGTTTATCAAATTCGTGAGATGTATTGTCAAGATGAAGAGTCTCTCTTGTTAATTCACTTTTAGTTCCACAATTTAAATCTTGTTGGTTAATGTTTTTATTTTAATTAAAAAGTTTCTTTTGATAGCAATTAAATTTGATCTTATGCGTCCTTTCTATATTTCTATGAAAGATACTACATGCAATAAAGCATTAAATGAGCTAGAATATTTATGGATATCATAAGAAGCATACATGTATATTTCTATTCTCCATTGAATCTCACAGTATTTATCACTTTGTGTTATCGATCCTATATCTATTTTGATGATAATAAAATCCACAAATAATTCAATTTAAGTGACCAAATAATTGAAGAGCAATTTAAGCCATAATAAACATCCGATCATCCAAAAAAATTAATGTTAAATCAATTATTCAAACTAAAAATTTTATGATAAGGGTTCATTTTATCCTAGCAATGTAAAAATATAGTCAAGCATATTGAAATTATAAGAAATTATCTTAAATTTAATAAACATCACCCAAAAATAAAATAATTGAAGAGAATGATGAATTCTTGATAACTTTTGAATCTTTCTTCCTAATTTTTGTGCAAATTTGTTGGTATTAAATCTCCTTGATGATCTTCTTCCAATTCCTTGGACGAATTCCTTTACATCTTTGACTTTTTCATTTTTTTCAATATGATTTTCTAAAAATCTTTTAGTTCTTGAAGTGTTTTGTTGCATAAAGAGTGAGTTTATAGGAATAATTTTGATTTTGATGAATCAACCCAACCGGTCAGTTACAAGCAACAAATAATAATGAAGAAAGAAATGAGATTCGATGGAAATATTGTACTATGCGGTTGTATAGTACATTGGGATGCAACTCAATACTTCACTTGTTGAACTCTAAATTCTTCTCTACATCTGTGGATGGGACTGCATGGATTTTAAACTTTGTGACAGCATAGTTATGGGGCTTTTTTTTCTCCGTCGGATAGCTTTTTAGTATTTTGGTCATATCTTTTATCTTTCGATATTCGATTGAAGTGATTCAAAGTGTGTTAGAAAAATAATTCAAAGAGCTTCAATTCTTTTAGAGATATCATTTTTCCAATTCGAACGTTTATAATGCCGAAAATGGGTTTCAAATGGAGACTGAAAATCTGAAGCATAACTTTTTCGGCTGAAAGTTGATATGTGATAATCGACTATATTTCATCCATTTGACTTCTTTCCTCATCCGATTGACCCTTAATACTTTTAAATCTTCATCGTAAGGTCAACACAACATTTTAATATTTACACTTGAATCCTCATTTTAGTTTTGTTTCATTTCTACCATTTTTTCTTGTAAACTTGTGTTTTTATCTTTCAATTGTATCCAATTAAAGCCTTGGTATTTTCGATCTTCATTTCATTGTTTGTCTTATCTAAGGATTATTTGCAATTTGGTCCCTATCTTTTGGATTTCACTCTTTTTTGAGTTATTCTTTTGTTTTTTTTTTTAAAAAAATTCTTGTTCAACATGGAATACAATGATGACAATTGATATTGTGAAATTGGATTGATAATGTGAAATTGTGAATTAGATTGTGAAATAGTATAAATTGCATTGTGAAATTGCGAATTGGAAGGTGAATTGATATTGTGAAATTGGATTGATAATGTGAAATAGTGAATTGGATTGTGAAATGTGAATTGTACTTGTGAATTGAAATTGTGAATTTATGATCATTTTGTCATTATGAATTATTTTCACTCACTTCAAGTAATAATTGGATATCAAATGTTCAAATCTAGATATCAAATGAATAGATACTTTCAACGAAAAAGGAACGTAGATAGTGTTGATGAGGGGGTATTGAATAATGTGGAGTTTGATGTCACAAAACTTCCAACTGATCCTGGTCTAAAGATACCCATTTTGGATTACAATGCTAACATTCGAGATGAAGTTCGAAGAGCATATATGTTAAAAGGTCCTTGTCAGTCCCAAGATCATGACTTTCCAAAACGACAATTTGGAGTAACAATTAGACGATTCAATCCTTCGTGGTTTAAAGAGTTCGGTAGTTGTTTGGAGTACAGTGTAGATAATGATGCTGCTTATTGTTCGTATTGTTATCTTTTCAGAACAAGTTCTGGAAAGCAAGGTGGAAGTGAGTCTTTTGTTGGCAAAGGTTTTACATACTGAAAAGATAAAAAAAGGCTTCATACTCATGTTGGACTTCATGATAGTACACATAATCAAGCTTGCATTAAGTGTGAAGTGTTGATGAATCAAGAGCAATACATTCAATCAATTTTCTACAAACAGTCAGAACAAGCAAGAAATGCATATGTTACACGTTTTAATGCTTCCGTTGATTGTGTTCGAGTTCTTTTGCGACAAGGGCACTCATTTCGAGATCATAATGAATCTAAGGATTCTCTCAATCCAGGTAACTTCTTAGTGCAATTGCAATTTTTGGTTGCTCATAATGAAGTTATTAATGCCGTCACATTGGAAAATGCTCCTCACAATTGCAAATTGACATGACTTGATGTTCAAAAGGATATTATAGTAAATACTTGTGCTATTGAAACGATCAATGTTATTATCAAAGATGTTGGCGACTCACCGTTTTCTATTCTAGTTGATGAATCTTGTGATGTGTCAATGAAGGAGCAAATGTCTATTGTTTTACGTTATGTAGACAATAGTGGGCATGTCAATGAACGCTTCATAGGGATTGAATATGTTACAAGTACCACGGCTCTATCACTTAAGGTTGCAATTGATAAGGTATTTTCTAGGTATAACTTGAGCATGTTTAGATTGAGAGGACAAGGTTATGATGGAGCAAGTAATATGCAAGGTAAGTTTAATGGTCTGAAAACAGTCATTTTGAAGGAGAGTTCATGTGCCTTTTACATTCACTGTTTTGCTTATCAACTCCAACTTGCGTTTGTGGTTGTGGCAAAGAAGAACATCCTTATTACTAACTTCTTTCGTGTGGTTGGGGACGTGATAAAAACTATTGGAGTATCTTCCAAACGTTGTGATCTTCTTTGAGAAAAACAATTAGACTTTATTGTTGAAGCATTGGACAAATGTGAGATTTTAAGTGGACGAGGACTTAATCAAGAAATGACCCTTCAGAGCTCTGGTGATACACGATGGAGTTCACATTATAATTCTTTGGTTAGCTTGCTTGCCATGTTCTCTTCTGTTTTAGATGTACTTGCAATGATTGTTGAAGATAAATCTTGTTCTTGTGATCAAAGATCTGATGCAACAAATTTATTGGAATCGATACAAAGATTTGATTTTGCATTTAATCTACAGTTGATGAGAAGTGTGTTGGGGATGTCTAATGAACTGTCAAAAACATTGTAAAGGAAAGATCAAGATATTGTGAATACAATGCAATTGGTGAGATTGTGCAAATGACGACTCCAAAAAATGAGGGACGAAGGGTGGGACTCCTTTTTGGAAGAAGTATATTCTTTTTATCAACAACATTACATTCATGTACCCAACATGGATGATATGTTTGTACGCCTTGCACTTCGTGGTCGCCCTCAGCATAATTCTCCATAAATTACAAATTTACATCATTATTAAGTAGATTTGTTCTAGTCTTTCATCGATTTACGGCTTCAAAAATTGAATGATCATTTCTCGGAGGTAAATACAAAGTTACTCCTTTGTGTAGCTTGTTTATGTTCACAAGATTCATTTTCTTCTTTTGATAAGAAAACTTTGATTAGACTTGCTGAGCTTTATCCATTAGGTTTAGAGATGGCAACGGTTCGGTTCGGGATCGGTTCGGCCAAAACCATCACCGAACCACCAATTTTTTTGCCATATCATAACCGCATCATAACCACGAAAGTTGGTTCGGTTCGGTTCGTATCTCGGTTCGGGTTATTAATAACCACGAAAATAAATTATTTTTAATTGGTCCATCCGTCGAATAAAAAGAAAAATGTATGAAAAAGTCTATGAAAACAAAAACATAATACTAAGGGGTGTGTCTACAATCTAGAGTTTGATGGATTTTAAAACTCCATATAAATTGAAGTATCCTCAATTCAGATTTAAATATAATTCATTAAAATATAGGTGTCCCCAATCTAGATTTTTAAAAATACTTATAAATATAGGTGTCATCAACATAGATTTTAATAGGTAGTTTTGAAATTTAAATGTCCTCAATAACTAGTTGATTTTAAAAGATTTCATTAAGTAGATAGATTTTGATAGATTTTGAAGGATTTCAAGATAAAAATATAAGTACAAAGAATCAGTAACAATTTTAACCCAAACCTAAAAATTTCACAATATTTCTCACCTCTCTCCATATTTGCTGCCCTCTCTCTCTCTCTCTCCCCCCCCCCATCTTGAAAAAAATTTTCTTCTTTCTATCTCACATTTCTCTACTGTGAAATGATCGTGTATGAGAACTTTTTAATTGATGATAATTTATGAAAGATTACTATTTTTTGTTGAACATTGAGTGTGATTTTTTATTGAACTTATTTTTTCTTATCGAAGCTATATATTGTTTACTATTTTATAGATGTGCTGCAAATTATTATGGTAATTTATGATTTCTAGTATGCATACTGGAATAACTTCGTCTTTCAAGTTCTATACCCTATTCATTTTTCTTGGGAAGAGCTGTGTGTTTTCTATATATACCTGCAAATCCTGGCCAAGACATGTGAGGATGGTATCCCACAATTTTTTTCTTTTGTGTCTGCATGGTCAATGAGAATTCTGGGGGTATGAAATTAATTGCCTTGTGTACATCCGTGTGTTTGTATCTCACAAGGTTGTGGTCTTTTGAACTAATTCATATTGATTACGACTTTGATTATTTAACACTACATATTTTTGTCTTCTCCCACTCTCGCATTTTGTTGAATATTGGGTGTATTTTTTATTGAAGTTCTGTTATAATATTCAATGTTTAACAAACAATTGAACAAGAATTCGATCATTTTCTATGATTTATTAACATGCATATGTTTAAGAATGAGTCGTTAAAGAAGTAAAAAATTTGTGGCTTATGTTAAGCATATTTATAAATTTTACCCAAAACCTATAAAATCCATTGAAATCTATAAAATCCATGAAAATCTTTTAAAATCTACAAAATAGAAATCCATTCAAATCTTATGAAATCTATTAAATTCTATCAAATTTCACACAATCCATGAGAATTTATAAATATTAAGAAATCTATTAAATTCTGAAATGGGGACACCCCCGTAAGTCAATGTAGCAAACAACATATCAAATGAAAATGCAAAAAATATCTCAATTCGGTTCGGGTCTTAATAACCACGAAAATAAATTATTTTTAATTGGTCCATCCGTAGAATAAAAAGAAAAATGTATGAAAAAAGTCAATGTAGTAAATAACATCTCAAATGAAAATGCAAAAAATATCTCAATTCTCAAATACAAAATCCAAATTTAACAAACAATATTCAATAACTCAAAAAGCTCCAACCTCAATTCATATTCAATCTTCATTCTTTCCCACAACTCTTATTAGCATATGTCAAAACTCAAAGTTGATTCCTATATAGTATAGAAGAAATGTAAATAGAGTAATAAATTAATAATCTATAATGTTCTTAACTGAAGATTTAAATATATATATATATATATATATATATATATATATATATATATATATATATA